AAGCCACAAGCTAGGCTTTCCCTAGAGACAAACTTTCAAACAAAAAAAATATATATATGTAGAACGAAGGTCCATAGAGAATTTTTGGAAATGAGATGAGCTATTTTTTGACCCTTGTTTGGTACATATCTCCTTCAAACCATATGTTATAGGGCTGAGAATTTTATTATAACCTCCTTACTATAGCCCCAACCTATCCTGAATATTTCATCCGATTTGGCTCTGAGATCAATTTTTGAGGGAGGGGCTTAACAAGAGTTTACAAAAATTGAATTAACTAGAGTGTGGGTGTGGATGTTGGGTTTGGGTGGGGTGTAGGTGTAGGTCTCTTTTCATCTGTATCTTCACCCACACTCATACCCATACCCACATCCGTAGTGAGATATGCAAGAGAAGCAGTACTTAACAATGACATCGACGACACACTGTCTGCACGTAACAATTACTATTGTCAGCGTTAATCCATTATGAAGGAATATTATTTTTATTTTACAATGATATTTTCGATTCTACTAATGATGAGCACATGTCGTTTCTCTTGTATGTGCCCTGCAAATTGCGAGATTATATCAATTCTAAAAGACTGTCAACACTCATTAGATGCGCATACATTACTCAAAGCTTGGCATAGGTATTCTTATCAAACCAATTGAATATAACATTGTTTTTCTTGATCGATGATGTTTTAAGTAATCAGTTTATGACACCGATGACAATTTGGCAGTCACTTTTCATTACTTTATCTATCTTTCGAAAATTCAACTGACTTTGTCAAGATCACAAAAAACAAGTCGAAAACGATAGTCAAGAATGAAGTGTCAAAAGATATCAAGAACAATTACGTAGTATCTTGTGATTTCTTCATTGTTGATACTAACATGAGGTTAGACTCATCTATTGTCATTATAGAACATTGCTCTCTACTTGATTATCAACGAGTTGAAAACTTAGAAGACGAAGGAAGTTGACTTTCAAGCTTTATCAATATTGTCAAGTTTTTACTGAGAATATAATTCATTGTCCTTTGTTAGTTCGATTTATCTAAAGAAGTACCTAGTTATCATTTGGGCACACAAATTTTATTTGAATTGAATCATGAAAATAGATAAAAAACGGTAAGCGAGAATAACTGATGAAGCATATTTCGCAAAAAAGATGGTTAAAATAGTAGATGATGACGTTTGACAATCAACATATGTGTGTCATATTGTCTAAAACGATAAAAGATGATCTTAGAATAGTTACCTTATAAAAGAGGTAACATTAGAAAGACTAAAGGAAAGTGTCAATTATTTCTGTATCAAGTTTCTGAATATTGAGAAAACAATGCTTTTTTTCAGATCAGTGGTTTCCATTTTGATATGACATCTAGTGCTTTTTCTACTATTTTTCTGATTTATGTGGGAAGTCTCAGAAGAAATGAGTTTGCTCAATCACAACTTTCTGGAAACACTTGAACGCCAAGAGTTTGATATCTGATGAACCTTCCAGTTTGATCGTGTGATACTTCAATCTTTACTCATTTGAGAAGAGAATACGTGAAAAAAGGACCAATATATAGTGACTCTTATCAATAGATAAAAAACTGTTCCCATTGATTCAAAGCTTCGGCAACATTTTCATTCGTACAGTCTTCTCTAAAGAAATTCTTATTTAATCATTTTTATTCTCAATACATGCCTCAGCAACATTTATTTGCAGTAGTAATAGTTAGCATCATAATGGCAACTGTAACCATAGGCATTCGAATTGGTGCAAACACCTGTACCAGCAAGGATGTCGCAATATGTTTGATCATCTTTGCATCGGATATTTTCAGCCTTCACGCATGTTGCGAAAAAGAAGACAAAAACGATAAAACGAATGAGTTTCATGAAGCTGATCATCGTTGATGTTTAATTTATTGACAACTTCTTCAAGAAAACTGTTTGGATCCCTCTAATTCCTCTCTTGTAATCTCGCTATTGTATGTTGTTCGATCATCATATGTCAAATCTTCCATCAAACCTGTTCGCTCATATGATGGTCCAAGCAAAAAAAGGACAAAATGTGTGAGCAGAAGAAAAGCTGTTGTTCTGATGAAAATATCATCTTATGTCTTGCAGTAAAATAAAGCGGGTGTGGGTGTGGGTATGGGTGTGCCGGTTTAACAAGATAAACACACGTACCCACACCCACACCCACACCCGAATATTGACGAATATGCGGCAAACTCTAGAAACGAAAATACCTGGGAATAAAATTTAGAAAAAGAAAAATCTAGAAAAATATGGAATATTTACAAAGAAAAGACTGTGGGTGAGTCTTTATGTCGCCCTTGCTTTCACACATCCGCACCAACATTCTCTACGAGTACAATGTCGAGCATTGAAGTCTACTACAGGAGAGAACTTTTGAAATTGGCATGAAATCTCATCATTTATCATTCATCTTCTAATGATCTTCATTTACCATCAATCTTTACTTCTTAGTTATTAAAAAATAGAATTCTTTGATATTTATTTATTTCTGTTCATGTTATTCAATATTCACAGGTATAACTGTTTGTGTCTAATGAAACTCGTTTAGTCATCTTCATAATCGTTATTTGATGCTCCCACAATAGGTTCTAGATAATCCAATTGATGATTGATGTAATTGAGTATTGTGGATGTGAATTGAGAGGATCTATGACAGGGTTCTTGGTCTGCTTGAATATATAATTTTTTGGCCCAATTTAAATGTTTAAGAGCTTCTTCAGCCGGTAACCTGGATGCTTCATCTAGAAAATATTGTGCTAAATCTCGAACAATTCGTGTTAACATACATTGATCATCGTCGAACATTTGAAGACTTTCAATATAATCAAGTCCCCATTCGTAATCATACCAATCACTTCTTAGTATGTAAGTATTCAAAATTCTATCATAAATAGATGGAAGAATTGTTCTACCATTTCTATTTGATGTTATCAACAGAATTAAATCATTTTGTCGACTAGCAATATAATGACGGCATTGATCAACATCAATGAACATTTTTAAATGACTTTGACAATTAGATAAATCAAGATCAATTTCATAATCATTTTGAATTAAATTGTCAATATCAATATCATTCCACGATGGATTACAAATAGGTCCTTCGAGTAGCGTGGCCGTAAATAGATACCTTTTCATCGATCGAAAATTCGTTGGTATAGCAAAATGCTCATCTAACCAAATAATCAGATATGGTGGCGGCGAAAACGTAGTGGAGGTTGAATCTATATCTAGACGGTTAGAAAATCGTTGCTTTTCTATCATAGAGAAAAATAATTGTCGAGACAACGAATAATGTTGTTGATGACAAACAATGCGAGCTGATATACTTTCAATACTAGTGCGTGGAAGTCGTATACGCAGTTGATTCATATATTCATCATCGAATTCTAAGTAGCATTTATATCGAGTGTCAAGAATTTGAAGCAAAAATCTATTGCGATTATTTGAATCAATATAGAAATGATTAAATACAATATTGAGTAAATCGACGTATAACATTTCAGGACTGACAAATAATGTATGGTAGCGAAATGGAAAATATACGGATAAGTAGAACGAAGCCATAAAGAATAAAGAGTTGTACTAGCATTACATAGCAATTCTTTTTTTCACATCTACAAGTGCAATATACGGCAAAAAGACTCAACTGACAAACAGAAAAGCATGTCAATGCTCGTCAACACGATGACTAAGAAAAGAAAAAAACCGGCGAAGAACCAAAAAAACTTGCAGAACGAGAAAAGAGAACGAAATATTAGTAGTCAATATAAAGTTGGAGTTTGTTTTTTTTCGTCACATAAAAGTGGGAAGAAACATACATTGATAAACTGAAAAATAGTGAAATGCATCAACAACTAGGAAGAAAAACACTATGGCCACTTTTTCATAAAATATTATATATTAACAATTTTGTTTTGATAAAACAAAAACCATGGATAGTCAAGATCAGACTCAAATTGATCTAATGATGATATATGGCAATAGAAGAAAATTATGTTCTAATATGTGCCGTATGACAAGCCGACAAGAGTTTACACAACGCATGAAACTTTGGCTTGGTGATGAATTTCCTCAAAATCATACTGCCTTCTTTTATGATAAGAAATTGAAAATGATGATTCAACTCGATGAGAATGATATATTTTATCTTGCTCCAATATTTAATTCAATATCACTTGAAAGTCAATCAATTGGTGTTCAACCGTCTTCATTCAATGATGATCCTTATTTCGAATTATATATTTCGGCAGGAAATTCAAATATTTCTCCTCTCTTGACTCCGGAGACATTTGCAGGTAACACAGCATGTCTTTTAATGGTTCAATGATATATGTTCCCCGAACATTTTCACTGCAATAATATGTATTCCATTAACGTGTTCAAAATAATTTTTCAGGAATTACAGATTATAATAAGCTAAGAAGTCAAGAGGGAGAAACGTCATTCGGACATTCCAAGCCATCCCGAGCCATTCCAATAGTTCAGAATGAGATTTTTCCCCGTTGAATGAGAGTCACACTATTTCAATTCGGTTTTTTAATCTGGACAAGCCTATTTGTCAAAATATTGATTTTTTTATATGTGGTTGTCTGGAAAGTCCATACAACTCAAATTCCGTGAAGCCGTACGATAACAACAGTTGCATTTATTCAATGTAATGATCTTCGCCAGCAACCACACGTTATCAACGATCACACAAACTGCTCATACCATTACGAACATTAAATAAATGCAGCACTTGTTATCGAATGGTTTTATAGAATACATATGAGATGCACAGACTCTCCGGACAACTAGATATATACTCAAAGTATCAACTCAATATCATAAAGAATAGTAGCCCTTCATGGTGGACAGCTACTTTAGTCCAGAACTGTATTTTTTGGTGAAAAAGTATGGATAATCGCTAGAAACATTTTTGTATTATTTTCAAAAGACCATAAGAAGTAAGTCTTGCTTCTCTTCTGCCCTATTTTAAATCTACGAATTAAAAATTTAGAATTAACTTTTAAATGATTTGTTTACTTAGAAAATTTTCAACAACAGCTGGATAATATCATTGAGAAAAATATGAACTCAACGCTAATGAATGATTTCATTCAGTTAGAAGAGTCATCTCTCCAAACACTTGTTGATTTACTTGCTGATGATATGGTTGACAAAGATTTTTTCAATTTGAATTGTGATACACAAGAAAGTAAACATTATGAGTATTTTATTATGAAATATCGTATTCTCTTAAGATAATAAATCATCAACTGCTGATCAACATATATCACCGATAACAAGCATACAATCACAATTAACCGATCATCTTCGTATGGAAACCGATGTTCATCCTACACCCGCAAGACGAAATTATTTATCCAATATGGGCAGGACGAGTAACAGTTGTCTTGCATATCTCAGTGGTATCAAGGGACCAAATGAGAGAGGAAAACAAATTCGACCTATAGTTATTGTCTGTATTTTTCCATCGATTGATGCCTTCAAACGAATGCAAATTTTTCTTTTTATAGATTCCATTTATTGTTCTTCAATGGTTGCAAGAAATTGATTCACTTGATTTAGTTGTTGCTTGTGTGCGAGAAACACAAGAGAATGGTACACACGTTTGGTGGATTGATAAACATAGTGAATTTCGGACAAAAGGATATACAAAAGAAACTCCGGGCGTAAATCCACTTGAACTTTCACTTACCTTGAAAGCAATTAAAAATGGAAATTTCAAGTATGTGAAGTATTGTTGACGATCAGAACCGTTAGGGTATTACTGTATATTTAGTTCATTATTGTATGTTCTGCATTCGATAAATCGAAAAATAATCCAAATAACATAAAAAAAGATACCAGTCGTCAGTGAATTCATAGGTCTTTCACATTTCTGTTAATGATTTGGTCACCTTACATCAATCAGACTATAGCTTTATAGCAAAAAATTTTTTTGCGATTCTCTAAGAACTTGAATAAAAATTTTAAAATTCAAGATTACCATATAATATTTCAAACTAAAAAGTTTTAGAAGAAACCAGGTGATCTGTTTTGTAAGGATCTATATTTTCGAGTATTATGACAGAGTTTTAACAAAGCATTTATGTGTATTATTCAAGAAAACTATTGAGTGTTAAAAGTTAGCAATTTAGTGTTTTTTTTTGCTATGTCGTTGAATTTATCTGATACATATCATGATTAAAGAATTTTCATTGCAACCAAGACTCAAGGCTTATGACAGATCAGGCTCAGGAGATTATGAGTGGACCACTCAAACTGATACGCACCGTTTGAGTTCATATTGAGGTCACAAGGAGATCGTGGTAAGACAAAGGATTTGTACTCATGAGCATCTGAAGTCAAGTTATGATCGTTTTTGCTGATTTGGAATTTCGATCCGAACTTTTGCCCATAGATAGATCTAATGACTCCGGGATTATTGGGATAGTATCAGCCGAAAAGAATGTTTGTTTGAAAATTCAATATCTCAAAAAAGAAACATTCTTTTTGGCTGAAACTCTCAGGATATTCTTAGAGTCATCAGACTTATCTATGGACAAAATTTCAGATCGAAATTTCAAACCAGCAAAACGGTCATAACTCGGTTCCAGAGATTCACGGGCACGAATCCTTTTAGGATTTTTCTAGTCTTACAGAGTCTCCCTTGTGAATCCAATACGAGCTCAGACGTCGATAATCAGTTCGGATAGTTTCCTCGTTAGACAAATACGTTGTTGAGTTATTGATACAGTGCTATCGACAGGAATTAACCTTTGTAAACAGTTCTTTTGATGGAAACTGTTCGATCCAAGATTAATCAACAAGCTACAAGTTTTCTGAAACTAACTCATCTCGGTACTTATTAGCTTTTCAACAGATCTTATATTAATATCTGTAACATTTTGTCGGCTATCTGTCTGTAAAACTTCTTACTTTTAAAAGCAATCTACAAGTAGTCTTCTCAGCATCATTTCTATCGACCGAATATTTAATATTAATTTAGACTAGAAGTAATTTTAAATCGTATCCCTGGCAAAATCAACACACAACGCAAAGGTGAATTATTTCATTCTCTTGATGACGTAATAGCCAATCAGTTACATCCAGCTTTACATGATCCAAACTCGTCGCGTCTAGCCTTAGTAATATCTACTCATGGTATGCGACAATGGAATACAATCGGTCTTTCAAATTTTATTCAGTATAGAAGACATAGATAGTCATTTGTTATTTGTTTTATATTTTGAGTATTTTTTTTATTGTAGAGAACCAAAATGCAAGAAATCGACAAGATCCGTTCAAAGTCAAGCCGCTTCGGAACAGCATACTGCTCAAGTTCAATCACAAATACCAGCAATTGTAGCATCTGAAATCGATGACTCAAATCGAAATCTAAATGTAACATAATAAAAAACATTCAGTAGTGACTCTATTCAGTTATCAAGAGTCATTTCTATTTTTTCCTAGGTTTGGGGTTTTATATTAATATTCGAGTTTGTTTCTTTTTGAATAATCACGAAAAGCTACTCTTCAGTGATATGTTTATTTTAGCAATTTTATTTATTTGTCTATACTATTAAATAAATGTATTTAGTAATATTAAAAAGAAACTTCTATAGTCATACCAAAATAACTCTCACTCTAGAATGTAATCAAAGTAGTGTAAAAGAAAAGCACGAGAAGTCTTGATGTATGTTATTGAAGCGCAATAGTTTTTATTGGATGTGTTGTCTGCAAATTCCATATCAAAAAATCGATTTCCGTCGTTAAAAAATGCGAAATTTGAATTTAACGTCAATCGAATAGATGTACATATTGTTTTATTCATGCGTTTGACTTTTTCTATTGTTTTCTTTCCGGCCGTTAATTATTACTAGATCATAATTTCGACATAACTTATTGTCTATACTTACAGGAAAACGTTTTCAGATGATCTGCCCCGTTTGCCTTCATATGTGTGGATATATGGGATTGTTTAGATTTTGATTAAAACGTAAATACCCTTGTCTTTAATGACTTAAACTGCACTGTAGATTTCAGTGATTGTGTAATGAAAACGATAAGATAATATCTATTTTATTTCTAATCGTAATATATTAGAAGCAAAGAATATATAAATACCAACAACCGCTTCATTAAATAAAAGATAGAGAAAATGATAAATAAATTTATCCATTCTACGATGATTTTTAATTGATAAAAATTAGTTTTTAAACGTTTATTTTTATTTGTTAAAATCTATTAAAGTTTGTTTCATCTTCGATATTATCTGGAATAATATTAATCAAAACTTACTCTAAGCATCACATATTCACAAATACAACGTAAGAAAAGTTAACGCAACAAATTCAAATATTTCTTGTGGAGATTTGCTTCCTAGATCTTAGCTAAATGTACCATTGAATTCTCTATTTTTGACAGACATAATCAATCAAAACACAAAAAAAAAATGAGAGCTTGACTCATTCAATTTTTAATCCTTGCAATAACCACTCATTCGATAGAGAATTCAATATTGCATCCAGTACATATTCCAATATCAACGAGAATGACTCGAATCTATTGTTAACTTTTCTTACGTAATATACGACAAAAAAAAAAAAAAAGAAACAAAAACAATGGCTAGATTTAAAGAAATCAAAAGGCATAATATCAACAGGTATATGAACGACTGACATTAAAAGAAATGAAAATATATAGTGAGATTCACTAATAATCAAGTTTTTGTTCAATTATTAATTTTCAATATTTGTGTAGTTTTTTTTTTCTTGATAATACATCTGACACTACGTGCAGAATATATATTTTATTAATTTTTTGAAGTTGATTGAACACTAAGGAAGTTTTTTGTTGGTAATATTAATGTTAATGATGATTCTAAATATAAAAAAAAGAACAATACAAAATAAAAAAGAAAAAGAAAAAATTTTTACCATCAGATAATTTATGACTAAAACCATTTTCTTTTGCATACTGTTCCCATTTATCATCATCTTCATCTAATGTTAACCAACGTTCATACGAACATGAATCTTCAAGTTTACGTAAATCACAATAGAGTTGATAATCCTATACAAACAAATTATTAGCAAAATAAAACCCATACACACACACACACCTCAAAAAAAGCATGTCTAAGTGCATTAGCAGCAGCAAGCCGATGCCCAGCATTAACTTGAAGCAAATGATGTGAGATTAAATCAGCAGCTAGAAAGAATATATTATTCATTCATAACATACAATTTATTAAAAAAGAAGAAATAAATCATTCATTCATGCTAAAATTTCCTCATTCAAATCAATGGTTGAAGAAAAACTTTTATCTAATAATCCTAGTAGAAAACTTTAATTGTAAGAAAATGTCAATAAAATATTTAAATAAAAAAAACTACCGTCTTTTGATATATCTTTCCATGGATTTGATGGAAACATAAAATTTGCATTACGAATTTGCTAAAATATAAAACAAAAGTAAATCTCTTCAACAAAATAAACAAAATAATTTACATCTTCAATTTCTTCGTCTTCATTAAATGGAAAAGTACCACTTAATCTTAAAAAAAGACAAATTCAAATATAAAAAAAAAAAGCCAATTTATAAACATAAGAGACTTACGAAACATAAATAATTACACCACATGACCACATATCTAATGATCGATTATAACCTTTTTCTAAACGAATCTCTGGTTTTAATGCTTCGGGTGCTAAAATAAAATATTATACGTGACAATCTATTCATTGAGTACATTTTATATATATATTCATTCATGATTCTTCTATGCATAAATATTATCAAAATAATGTAATGAAAAATATGATTTAAAATTTATATTTTTAGCAGGTCAACACGTTCAGTTGATATTTACTAACTTATACTATCAATCTAATATTAGTTTATCTTCAAAATAATTTTATAAGAAATGCTAATTTTATTAAATGTCTTGTTATGCTAATACATAAATGGAAATTGAAAGCGAAATAATTGACCTTAATTATATATAATTGACTAACAAGAATAAAGATATGCAATAGTAATAATAAGGCATATTGAACTTAAGGATACTCCCTCTTTTTTTGACGGAAAATTTTAATTTCGAACTGGCCTTCAGATATGATAGCCTCATGTGCAATTAGAGACATCATTCCATTCGAAACAGCTTATTGTTACAAAGTTGTTGAATTTACAAAACTTTTTTTTTCATATTAATCAAATTGAAATTATCTTCTGTTAGTTAATGTACCGCAAAATATCAGTTTTCTCAATCCTGTCTGAAAAAAATTTTCAGCTGAATTGAATAAAGTTTGATGGGGGTCGTAATGTACCAGGATGCGGTGGTCCTATGGAAAATCACAGTTTTTCCAAAAAAAATCTCGAAAACTTTGTTCTCTCGAACAAATGTTTCCTTATTCTGAGTGCTCTACCTGTGATAAAAATCTCAATCTGATCGGTTGTACTCTCTTGAAGAAGCAGAAATGGTCAAAAAAATAGAAGGGTAAAACACTTAATTGTATCAGTAGAGAAGTTTTCATCAGCAATATTTTGATTAACGTGTTTGTACTCTTAATGCATATGTGTATGATCGAAAAATGAATTATTTTGTTTTGTAAAACGTATGAGCAGTACTGATCCGGCACGGACAACAATACAAGCTTTTATGATTTATTTGAGAAAAGTAAAATATTTTCTTTGTAATAAAACTTGAAACCAATCGGAAAGACACCCTATCTCAAACACCTTTTCGCTAGAACTATTTCTGAACATTACTCAGACACCATCATATTAAAATTTCATTTGTTGTTTCAATACTTCTCCTACTAAAACAACAAGTTCATTTCCTATAATATCCAAATTTCATCAACACATTGATAGAAACTGGACTTTGAAACATCATTTGTCTTTCTCTAGCAGAAAGTCAAATAAGGATTTAGACAGCTTGGTTTATCTCAGGATGAAAGCACTTCCTGCTATCTCTTCCTCCCTAAAAAAAATATCGACAGCCGTAATCAGATTTCTAACGACTGATGATATTTATAATTCGTTGTGAATAAATCTTGTTTTCTTAAATAATAAATACATACGTAGATAAGCTGGTGTACCAACAATTGATCGTCGAAATGATTTTTCACCAATAATACGTGCAAAACCAAAATCACATAATTTTGTCTGAGGAAAATCTTGTGATTGTGCTAGAAGAACTATTTAAACAAGAGAGAAAAAAAAAAGCTTTTTAATATAATATTAAAGATCATTTACAAACCATTTTCTGGTTTTAAATCACAATGTACAATTGATTTACTATGTAAATATCTTAAAGCAACAAGTACCTAATAAATAAAACAAATTATAATCGAATTTGCAAACAAAAAAAAGAAATTTTTACTTGATAAATTAAAAATTTTGTTTGTCGTTCATTAAGACGTTTTATTGGTTGACTTAAAATCATTTCAAGCATATCCGAATGTAATTTTTCCATAACTAAAAAAAACTAAAAGAAGAAAAACAAAAAATTTTATTTTTTTTTAAACACCAAAAAAATATTACTTTTCCAGGTGTGTCGAACATAGCATGTAATTTAATAACACCAGGATGTGTTATTTCATGTAAAATATCAACTTCACGATGAATTTTTTCTTCTTGATCGCTAAAGCGTGTTTTATCAATTACTTTAATTGCAACTTGTTCGTTCGTTTCTAATGAATGACCTTAAAAAAAACAAAAAAACAAAATTAATAAATAGGATACTCATATCCAGGAGTGTAGCAGGCAGTATTTTATTCACTATGGAGGTGGAGGGAGTTGGTCCTACTACATTTTTTGTGTTCGCGTAGATATTCACTCTTCCAAAACACTAAATTGTCTCTCTGGAAGAGAAAGTCTAGATACAATACTAGCAGCAACCTATCTGTTTTCAAATTCATACATATTGCTTTCCGTGCTTTTGATATTCTCGCATTTAATGAACTCCTATAACTTCACTGCTTTAAACTTTGAACTATAATCCTGCTGGTATCATTAACTAATCTACCAGGAGAAGGAAAAATGAAATAAAAATTAGGAATAACTTGATATTGTATTACTATATTGGATCTTGATAATATGATGAAGCTATTCCATTTAAAAGATCAATTATCATGAAAAAAATTCATTGGAGTTGTGAACATTAGTGTATAACTCCATTTGAACAAATATTTCTGAAAGAACTAATTACTTTTCTTGGAATCTACTACTTTTATTGAAGAACGTAATCGATGAAAACATCTGATTCGCTAGATTTCTATTACTAATAAAATCCAATTAGTTCAGATAATGGGTAAATGGGTCAAAAATTTTAATACTACTTACGAGGGAACCTTTACGATTGATCGATCGCTTTTGAATTCGGACTCTGCGCATAGAGTAAACCTCAATGTGGCATGAAAAAACTCAAAAGGTTAAATCCTCTTATGCTTTCTGTCCAGAGTTATAAGCATTTTACTTGAATTTTATCCTATAGCATGGCACATACCAGCAAACCGAATGATGGTATTTCGACTTGAGATTTTGTCCACAGACAGGTCTATTTGCACCCCCCACCCCCAAAAAAAAATTTTTAGCATCTTTTGTAAAATATGAGTGATTTTTGAAACTTTAATATCTCTGTAAGAAAACATTCTTTTGAGCTGAAATTTCTACTGATAAATAGATCTATCTATGAACGAAATCTCAGGTCGAAATATGATCATTCGGTTTGCTGGTATATGCGAGAGAGATGGACATGGTTTACTTCGTGACTCTCCTCATCGGTTCATCATTATGGTGTGTAAAGTAAGAAAAGTGCGATCAATAACAATGAAAATATTCATATTTTCTTGTTTCTTCGTCTAGGAAAAATAAACCAAGTACATTCGTTAAAGAGAAAAAGTATTTGCGTAGTGATTAATTAAATTAAAACGAATACATAATGAAGGGCTACCGAGATTTATCGGATTTATTTATTGGATGCATATAATACATTTTTGCCTGTACCGAAAGAGTGATACAGTTCAAAAGAGTTACCACTTATGCTATAATTTAGGGAAGAATTTTCATTGTATCTAAAACACTAATCCTTCGGGATGACTTTTATTATGAAAGAGCCGTTTGATACAGAGTGTTTTATTACAGGAGCAAGGGTTTAGTTGATAATCGTTCGAAATTAGACGAAAAAGTAATTTGATAGTTTTAGTTATTTCTTTTTTGGCTCAGTTCAGTGTAAATTCTGAAAAACTCGAACCATGTCCATCTCTGGTATATACTATGCCAGAGGTTAAGATTCCAGTAAAAATGCCATTTAGGATTTTTTATACCTCACTAAGATCTACCGTATGTATGGAGTCCGAACTCAAAACTGATTAATCATTTCAAAACGTTCCATCGTTAGTAACGTTGTCAGAATTTTGTCGACAAGAGATTCTGTCTGGCCGAAAGGTTAATAGCAAAGTTTCAATTGTTATGGCTTCTGTCGAAAAGGGAAGGCATCCGTTGCTTACGTCTATGACTACTGTGAGCAAGTTAGGATATTGCATTCTGTTCTTGGAATTTGTACTTTTAATAGGATTGTATTTCTATTCTATCATCCTTGTGTTCTATTATTTACTTATAAAACAAAAAGACATGACTTCTCAATGAAATAAAAAATCATGACATTCTAGTTTATCTTATTCAATTTTGAAATAATAGTTCTTTCTTTTTTACCTCCATAAACTGTTCCAAATTGTCCACTACCAAGTACTTCAATTGGATTTATTTTATATAATTCACTAATATCTCGACTTTCTGATCTTGATGTAACAATTGTAAATATACTTTTTATTTCATTTCCTTCATTATTATAAGCTAACAATGCTTGACGTATTTGTGTATAAGCATTTCTTGCATGTTGTGATGAATGTGCTATATCATATTTCTTAAAATAAATAAAAAAATATATATATATATGTAATTTTGTAGATTTTGTCATAAATTTATTTTACTCGATTTCTTGTTCGTTTACATCCACAATAATAAATAATTTGTTCTGTACGAATTTCAAAATAATGTGGTTTATCTGGTATAGTATTAATTTGTAAAAGAACATTTTCTAATTGTATTTCACGAGAAAATTTATTTGTTGTTTCATTTTGATACATTGTTAAACATCTATATAAAAGAATGAAAAAAAAAAAGAAAATTTCTTCTTTAGTTTATAACATACGAAGCATCAACACGCCAATAATATGTTTTTTCATTTAATGGTTCTTTATCAGTTGTATGTACCATCCAACCTTCCCAAAATAGTGCACCACCACTTGCCTTTTTAACACGTTTTATACTTTGTATAAGACGTTGAGCTCGAATATTTCCATGACGTGAAAATAATGATAATGATGATTCATTTCCATTATCATCATCATCATTTTCTGGAAGATTTATTGGTGATACTGATAAATCACGTAAACGTCCACCAATAGCTAAATCATCTGTTGATGAACGTATTGAATCATCATCATCTATTTCATAAATATTATAATCATAATATTTATTAGTTAAGTTTTTTTTTTTACCCTGTAAAGTATTTTGCATTAATATTCCTCGACAATTTTTTGTTGCTTTTGGTATACATTTTTTATGTACATTCATTTTGCAATCTAAGAATTAAATTCTAGTTCCTTTTTTTCGAGAAAAGATAATTATGAATTTTTGATACCTTTACAACGATAACCTTGTTTAACTAAACCTTTTAATAAACGTTTACAAATATCACATTTTGTTGGTGATCGATAACTGTGTACATAAAAACAATGAGGTAATGCTGTTGGTAATTCAGCACCGGTTAATGTTAAACGTTTTTTAAAATCAATTGCATTCTGTGAAAAATGATGAATGAGATATTTTTAAATTATTACATGGACATATAAATTTTGAAAAGTATTTTTTGTGCTGTAAGCAAGTTTGAGACTTTATATATCGTAATTAGAAAGTGATAGAGGTCTGAAATTTTTAATGTAGATAAATCTTTATGACTTCTATCTACACTAAAACTTTCAGACATCTATCACTTTCCAATCATGAGATATAAAGTCTCAAACTTGCTTACAGCACAAAAAATCTCTCAGAACTTATGTGCCAATGTATTATTATTGTTTTTTTATGGATTATGAAAATTTAAATTGAAAAAGTCAGTTAAGTATCTTTCACCATTAATCTTCTGAAGCTGATTATGAGTCTATCTTACAAAGTTATTTATTCTACATTTGAATCTAATTAAATATGCAAAACGTAAAAGAGTTTTAAAAAATGTTCTAATATAGAAATCTAATTTGGCAAAGCAATTATGAAATTTCAAGGTAAAAGAGATGAAAAAGAAAAAGAAAAACAAAGTCCTTATTTATGCATACCGTAGAATTACATTTTAATGGAAATATATCAAAAATTTACGGAAGTGCATCTAATCTCAATATATTCCTGTTTCTTTTTTTATTTTGTACTTTCTTCTTATTAAAAAAACAACAACAACAAAAAAAAAAAGTTCTTTATTTACATCATCATTTGTTAATGCCACATTTGAAATTTTTCTTGCCGTAAGTGAACAATTGTCCGGTAAATCTGATACACATCTTTTATGAAAATTTCGACCACAACCTATAAAAAACAAAATATTGAAACAATTTGATATATTATAATTTGATAAAAATACAAATATTACCTTCACATTTCATTCCTTGTTTATAAAGACCAAATAAAAATTGTCCACATAAATCACAAAATGTTGGTGATAAATATGTATGTAAATTAAGTACATGAGGAACAAGACGTGTACAATCACTCATGATGTACGCTAAAAAAAAAAAAAAGAAGAAATATATGCTTCGATGTTTACTAAAATATAGATCAATTGGTTAATCAAATCTAAGTAAAAAGAAGAAGAAGAGAAAAAAAATATGTATATATATTATTAAAGAAATTCTTTATTGATAAGAAAAAATCTAAAGATAATCATCGGCCGGATAATTAAATTTATTAAACGAGCGGATAAACGACAACAACAAAGAACACTTACTCGAACTAGTGATCTTTCTATTTCTTGTCTTCGATCGTTTCTACCATGATTTAGTCGTGTAAAATCAACGCTTCAAGCGAAATAATCAAGTGCTGCTCTATTCCTCGTTCGGCAACGCGCTTATCAAATCGTTACTCTCTGTACTCTTGTCGCGCACATAAAACGAGCAAGATCATTTATAGTACATTTTTTCCCTCTGTTATTTGCTGATAGTCGCCACTATGTTGGCTATACCAGAGTAAAATATAGCTGTAGAAATGCTACCAGACTCACAAATACAACATTTCCTTTTTTTTTTTACTTATTATGTTTTCGGCTATCCTGTCTAACGGATAGTCGATAGCAAGTACTATCGTTGCCATTGTCAGCGTAAGCAACATGGCATGCCTATGTATATAAGACATAAGAACGTGCAATAAGTATCCGTTATTATTCATCAATAGTATTAAAAAATAAAGAACAAAAGATAAAACACTATTGTTCAATTATTATGATCGCTTAAGAATATTAAATGAAACTTATTCGAATAAGTCAATAAAATTATTAAAAACAAAACCATTACTTGAGAGCATAGGAAAGAAGAATAGAAGACCAGAAATGCTCGTTTCTCTTTAGATCAACATATCATATAAGTATGTCATGTGCACAAATAGACGTATAGGTGTTTTTTAATAAAATAGTAAAAGAAGCATATTGAGCAGCTTGAGAATAGGAAAAGGAAACAGAGAAGAAAAAAAAAGTGGTATTCCATATAGTGATATAGTGTGAAAGATGATTATTCATGCACGTATCAGTTACTAATTTTCAATTAATAAAAACAGAATAGAGGTTTCCAACAAATGAGATATGATCTAGATGATAGAAAGTTTTTTTTTTAATTAATCTTTCATCTTATTTAAGAAAAAAATAAATCATCGGTAGGTATATATGTATATATATTGAGAACTAACTATTAACTAATATTTTAGCATTAGAAAAAAAAGAAGCCTTTCTATTAACTAAAATTTAAAAATAAAAAAGAAATTTTCTCTCGAGAATAATTTTTTTTCCTTTTTTTCTTCTTCATTTATTGTATAACAAAGATGGTTTTTTTTCTTGTGTTATTAATTTCATGAGATCTAATTATTTTTTTTTTTCTTTCTAAACTTACGAGAAATAATAATTTCAACAATAGTATCTGGTAGAAGAATATCTTTTGGATTTAATGGTATTATCATTTGATATGATGATGGTTCATAACGATATAATAATATTCGATTATGTAATAATTTTATGTCTTGATCTGGACACTTGAATAGAAAAAAAATAGAACAACCAAAAAAAAAAGTCGTTATGCTTTAGTTTTTTTTTGTTTACAAACCATTGTTTGAATAAATCGAATAGCAACTTCACGTAATGTATTCATTGTTAAACTCAATGGACTCATTGTTACGGTTACCTTTTGATGATAGGCACCGAATTTAATTTCAAATGTATACGTTCTAGTACAAAAATCTGTTGACAACATGCCATGGAAATATTTCTTTTTTTTCTTTAATCAATGTTGATTAAATAAGATAGAATAATAGTTTGATTAGATAAATCTTCTTCATATTTTTGTTTGTTTACTTTTCAATTTCTTGTCAAAGATTTGAAGTTAAATTGTTTTTTTTTTTATTGAATATAATAATAATCAATATGTCAAAAATAATTCTCGTTTTTTTTTTAAATTTTTTTCTAAAAAAAAGAAAATATTTTTTTTTATTCATGAGCGACATCTTTATTTATTAATTCGATTTGTCAAAAATGACGATGAAGATGATGATGATGAAAGAAATCTTATACAAGTTTAACATCATTTTCATTTTCATCTGTTATTTTGAAAATGGAACTAGTTTTTCTCGGTACTGGCTCAAATAATCCAAGCCCACATCGAGGTGCATCAAGTCTTGGTAGGAAATAATTAATTAAGAGAAAACATAGAAAAAAAAAAAGAAAAAGATTAATGTTTTATTTTCAAAGCTTTACGTGTTAGTGGAACAAGTAATATCTATTTATTTGATTGTGGTGAAGGTACACAAATTCAAATTCAACGTTCAGCAATTCGTGCATCGCGTATAACAAAAATTTTTATAACACATCTTCATGGGGATCATATATTTGGTTTACCAGGACTTTTATGTACACTTTCATCAAGTCCATCAATGTCATCATTAATTTTATATGGACCACTTGGTTTACGAGAATTTATAGAAACTACATTAAGATTATCATGTTCACATCTTTCATTTAACTGTGAATTTGTAGAAATTATACCAAATTCATATGATGGTATAGATGAAAATTTTATAAAAACAACAATTGAAAAACAAGAAAAAAATGAAAGATGTAGAATAGTAAATATTCATGAAGATGGAAGTTATCATTTAATATCTAATGAAGATAATTGTTCAGTTTATGCTGTTTCTATTAAACATCGAGTACCAACTTATGGGTAAAAACAATAGATTTTTACTTGTTTAATCCGAGATTAGAAATACGAAATGTTTGACAAAATTCTAGTTAAACTTGTTATAGTTCTTTAGCAAATTATGATTCATCCGAAGATTTTTTACTCCATTGTTGTAAACATTAATAAGAATTCAAGTAGTAATGTGTGTAGGAAATTTTATTTTCGAAGATATTTCCTCTATCATTCCAAGTTCTATATAGAAAACTCCAGGATTTGAAAAACCTCTTATCCATAAAAAACTAACAATCATTTTCCTTTTTGGAAAATAAAATTTTCTACACAAATTACTATTTGGATTCTTATTAGCAGTTACGATAGTAGAAAATAAACCTAGATGAATAATTTTGAAAGTAACTGTATATAATAATCAAGATCTTTAATTTTCCTAAGTTCGAATTCTCTAACTAAAATTAATGCTGAAATGCATCGACAAGATTGTACTTGATTTTTGTGATATTTTTATTTGTTGATTAGTGATATTTATTGACATCTGATAGAAAGAAACTTTACAAAAGAAACATAAATTACAATTAAACTCAATCCTTATAAACATACTCTGCATTGTTTTCTATGACCAATTGTAATCGATAAAATATTTCATGTATCGTTATTCTCTATCGTAATACATTTTTAGTTCTTCACAGATAAGCAAATTTAGCATTGCTACGTGCTAAATCTATACGTTTATTAAATAATGGTGCTACGAACCGTGTGACTAATACTTCGTATTGTTTTTTAGACTATTTAAATTCAATACAAATCATTGACGATCTATCTGGTTTTCATAATTGGTGGAGATTTAAGATAAAATTTGTCATTGAATCTAAAAGATTTTACTTAGGGTTGACCAAAAGTTTTGGCCACGGCGTTTAAAGGACTTTGTTGGATAAGGTGACTTATTCATAAATGAAAAGTCAAATATACCATATTATAGAGCTTTTTGAGGCGCGTCGAATGGCATATAATAAATCCCATTTTCATAGGACTTTGAAGAAACTAGAGTCAGTTTACTGATAGACAACTACATACCCATACCCAAGAATGATAAATTATTGAATGTTGTGGTCTTTGGTATTAGTCGAAAATATTTGTAAAATTTTTTTTTCACACACGATTTTCTAGAGTTTTTGACGGGCTACAACCTTATATGTGTAGCATCTTGTGGATGTGGGTGTATAGTCATCTATCAGTAAATTGACTCTAGTTTCTTTAAAGTCTTATGAAAACAGGATTTACTATATACTATTCGACGCGTCTCAAAAAGCTCTACAACAAGGAATACTTGGTTTTTCATTGCTGTATAGGTCACTTTATCCGATAAGGTTCTTTAAACGGCGTGGCCAGAACTTTTGATCAACCCTAAGTAGATATTATAATTATAACAATCCTTATTCGTTCTGTTACGATTGACTACGTAAGAGAAATATTTAAAAAATCTAATATAATAATCCAAGCATTTCAGCATTAATTTTAGTTAGAAAGCTTAAACTTTAGAAAATTAAGGACCTTGGTTATATATGTTGCAGTTGATTTTGGAATCTAGTTGAGATTGGAATCACTTAGTTCACTTTGTTTGTTTAAAAATTTTTTTAACACATATTCAAGAAAACTTGTTTGTTTCTTGTCAAATTTATATTTACTATTACTTCTCGGACAATAAAAAGTATCTTCGTACTGTTATTTTTTGATGAAAAGCCATTAGTCATTCTATGTATTGTTTTTCTCTAAAAGTAAATCTTACTCGTCATTTTCCTTATATTGTAGTGACTATATCAGTACTCGGGACATGGGGATATTGAATCATTGGTTGAAACGAAATCGAGGATATTTGAGCTATTTGTTTCTATAGAATAGATTTTTTTTTGAGCAGCGGGACATGGGGACATTGAATCATTGGTTGAAACGAAATCG